CTCCTCCCCCTTCTCTGCCTGCTCATCCGTCTCCTTCTTCTTATTCTCCTCCTCCTCCTTCTCCTCCTCATCCTTCTCATCCTCTTCCTCCTCCTCTTCCTCCTCCTCCTCATGCTCCCATTCCTCCTCACTTTCCTCCTGCTCATCCTTCTCCTCCTTCTTGTCCTTTTCATCCTCTTCCCCCCGCCTCCTCCTCCTCCTCCTCCTCCTCCTCCTCCTCCGCCTGCATATGTCGGCGGTGGTGGGAAATAGGCCCGCCGATCAGGCGAGGCGGGGGCGCCGCCGCCGCGCCCCAGGTGGCCACCGCGCTGCTGGTGCTCCGCTCGCCGGAGGGCGCGCGCCCCGGCGGGGGGGGGGGCGTGCAGCGGGGGCCCGTGCCAAACGATACCTCGCTTGCTTTCGAGTACGGGATCGATTACAGAATTGATTTACCCCAGAGTTGTTTCCCCATCGAATCTGCGACGAAAGCCCAGAATGTTCATCAATCGGTTGAGACTGCTGCGTATTTCTTTTAGGTTCGCCGAAAAAACGAATGTGGGGTAAGTCAATTTTGTAGTCGGTCCCCCACTCAATGCTTTCGGGCGCGTCCCTCCACAGGAGGAAATGAAATAATAGTCAAACAAAGTCTGTGGGGCCATTTTTAGAGTGCGTTTTGCTATTTGAGTGCATGTTTGGGGTGTTTTTTTACCTTCGTCTAAAACCCGCCTGTAGGAGGACACGCCCGACCTAACGCTCGCCTCCAGTGGAGGCCCATGCCAAGACACACCCCCTCGACACATTCGAATGGCAGAACATTCGGCGGAGGACAAGGTGCCCATATTTCAACCCCTCGCCAGTTGTTCCCCCTTTTGGGGCCTCGTGGGAGGCCTTCGTGGATTCGCCGAGACATCCTGGTCAGAGCGCTCCCTGGGAGAGGCCGGGGGAGCAGCGGTATCGGTACCTTTCGGTTCCCCCGGAAACCCATACCAAGGAACATACACTGCTTGCCTCCAGGGTGCCCTGGGCTTCTTGGAGCCCGTCTCTTTATTGCTTGGGACATGACGGGCTTCCTGGCCCGCGCTCCCCCCATCCCCCTATGACCTAACGCTCCTACCCCCAGTGCACTCCGGGCACTGCCGCCGTGCGCATTGGGATCCGCGTAGGTGTCCGCGTACGAATCCGCATAGGACTCTGGTCCGCAGTCGTCGTCGTCGTCGACGTCGCTCATGGCTTGTCGCTCGTCGCTCATAGTCGTCGTGTGCGCGGACGCTGCTGAAGCATGTTTTTTATTCCTGGCCGATGACGGCAATCATTCAGGGGGGGTGGAGGGGGTCGACGACGTCACGTTTCGCGCCGGCGGCGTCTGGGAATGCTTGGGAAGGACGGAGGACGGGTAGCGCCAGCATGTAGGTGGCGATTTGCACCACATTTCTTGTGTACACCACAGTAACTGCGTGCACCACAGCGCCCGTGTACACTACACAGCCTATGTGCACCACAGCGCCCGCGTGCAACACAGCGTCAGTTTGTGCCACCGTGCCTGCGGGCACAACAGGTCCTGTGCACACCACAATGCTTGCGTACACAGCATCAGCCGTGTGCAACACAGCACCAGTGTACACCACAATGCCTGCGTGCATTGCAGTGCCTGTGTGCACCACGGCGCTCTTGTGCACCACAGCAACCGTGTGCAACACAGCACCACTGTTGTATATACAGAGTGTTCGAACGAATCCTTGTGGCAAAATGGAGTTTTTGTGGACCACTGAAAACAAGTGACACAATAGTCCCTATGGACAACGGGGCGCCGCTGGAATCTACGAGTCCTCCCGAGTCCGCCAGCATCACCCTAACTCCCCCCATTTGCGTCCAGGAAGCTCCAGCTAAATTGGCCGTCCGAGAACCAAGTGGACCCATCCAATCGACCATTATGCGGTGCGCGCTGAAATGCGCACGTGCGCTGTAGCGCCAAACCGCACGACAGGGGGTAAGGAGGAGGAGGAGGAGGAGAAGGAAACATAATAACAAACATAAAACTAAGACTGTGAAGAAACAGAGGAAGAAAAACAAAAAGACGAGGAGGAGGAGGAGGAGATGAGGAAGGGGAGGAAGAGGTGGAGGGGGTGGAGGAGGAGGGAGGAGGGGGTAGCCTCGCATTCGATTATCAGCAGGTTTTTTTGATATGAAAAAACCGTGGCGTCTAGTTGCCCGCAGCAAATCCTCACGTACATGCTCCTTTTTACCTGTCCTATGCACGCAGGCACCGTGGTGTACACCAGCGCTGCCTTGCACGCGGATGCTGCGGTGTAGACACCCGCTGTGGCGTGCACAGGCGCTGATGTGCACGGAAGCGCTGGTGTACACAGGCGTTGTGTTGCACATGGTAGTTGCGGTGTACACGTGCACACAAGCGCTGTATTGTACGCGAGCGCAGTGGTGTTCACAGGCGCTGCGTTGCACACGGTTGTTGCGGTGTACGCAGGCGTTGCGGTATACACGCGCGCTGTGGTACACGCGAGCGCTGTGGTGTACACAGACGCAGTGGGGCATATCGCAACCTACATGCTGCTCGCGTCGTCGTCGTCGCTCGTCGCTCGTCGCTCGCCGTTCGTCGCTCGTCGCGTCGCGCGCGCGGGCGCGGCTGCGGTGCCGGAGCCACGGCGGGGGGGGGCGTTACGTCGTACTCCCCCCCCCGCCCCCCATGACGCCCGTCATCGCCGAACATAAAGAAACGCGCTGTTGGGTTTCGATGGTTCCGCGGTGGAAAAAGCGTGACGATCCCGCACCGAACATATCGATGGGCGTCCAGGTGTCTCAGGGTTATGATGTTCCAACCTACCTTAGCCTTGATCAGCAGAAACATATTCGAACCACCCAAAAACACCGAAACTCGAGGACTTTCACGCGTCGGGTCCTGGGATACACTCGTCCGACACCCTTTCGACACCGTTGCGACACTCTTTCGGCACTTTTCGGGGCGCTGGCAATTTCAGGGATGTGGTCCTTAAGTACGATGGGAGCAACATAATTCCAAGGCTGGGTTTTTCGTGGAAGGTCTCTTGTGAACTGGCCTCCGAGCGAGAGGGACCGGCCGTATAGAGAGCCTGGCGGGGGCAGGAGCGGGGCCCGTTCGACGAAGAGGGGGAGGAGGAGGAGGAGGAGGAGGAGGAGGAGGAGGAGGAGGAGGATATGGGGGAGGAGAAGGAGGAGGAGGAGGAGGAGGAGGAGGACGAGATAGGGGGAGGAGAAGGAGGGGGAGGAGGAGGTGGAGGAGGAGGAGGACGACGAGATGAGGGAGGAGAAGGAGGAAGAGGAGGGAGAGGGTCCTTGGGCCCTCCCCATGTTCCAAGCCCTTGCAGACGGGGTGTTTGCAAACTGGGTGGTAGCCAAGGGTGCGTTTTCAACTTCGCATTCGACAGAAGTCGATGTGCCGCGCAGAAGTGCGAGATGCCCCCCTCCGTCCCAGATCCGTGATGATGTGTCGACGTGTTTGTCGCCCCGGGTTGTCACGCGCTAGTGCGAGGTAGGTGCCCTGTCGCCCCGTGCTCGCTCGTAGAGGCCCCTCAGCTACCACGCCGTCCCAAGGGGGACTTGGCATCGCTCGGACGTGTGCATACCTCTTCTTTCGATGAAACAACCACACGTAAACATGGTTTGTTTGGCGCTCCGCGCGGGTTTCTCCGAATCCGCGCTGGAGGCCCCCTGGCGGCGCCTCCGGCGCCGCCCCTGGCGCGCTCCGCGCCCCAGGGAGGCGGGCCCAGCGCGGATCCGAGACATCCGCGCGGAGCCCCAAATGTTTATGCTTATGTGTTTAGGATTATTATTATGTTTGTTGTGCTTATATGTTTATGTTTATGTGTGTGTTTTTCTTCTGCGATTATTCTCGGCATCCTGGAGCACATGCAACCGCGAGCGAGGGAGGCACGTGGAGTTGACATCCGAGCGACGGCGAGGGGAGGGGGGCGCGCCTGCCGCTCGTCGCCGACGCCTCGTCCGAGCAGGGCAGCTCGAGCATTGACCGCTGGACTCGACTTGAAGTTTCGGGGGTTAAGGGCCTCCTACCCTGACACGGCGATTAGCGAATTGGCCGTTTTCGGTTCGCGAGAGGGCGTCGCGGCCGTCATTTTGCAAGTCCACGCCCGTCGGTTTCGGTCCTAGGCCGTTTTCACTAAAGTGTGGTTTATTGAAGGGAGGTTTGTCCACCGCCGAAAGTTCTGGTCAGAACGCACCCCTGGAGAGGTCCGGGGAGTAGCGGCAGCGGTGCCTTGTCTAGCATCCCCGTCCATGGCCACGATCGAGATGTCGCGGGATCTCGTCGACGCCGATCTTGGTCATGGTCCATGTCAGCCGTCGTCGATTCGCGAGATGATCCGCTTAGTGACGCTGAGCAAGATGGGCGGTGACCAAGGGAGTCAAGACGTTTTAGCGCTCAGTCTTGGTCATGGTCCCCATTTTCTCCTCTCCGTGGCTTGCCTTTCAAATCATAACCTAAAGACATCCATGTGGCCTGCACGGTATGTTGTTAGAACAGTTCGGACTGATATAGTCTTGTCTTAATAAGCCGGCTTACGGTTTCAAAGAACCTCGCGTTGCTATCATAGCATTGTTTCACTGCAAGAAAGCGTCGTGGTAGGTCTATCGGAATGCTGGGACGGTCGGTCCATGCTGCCAGAACAGAACGTCGTCCCCTTAGTTTCGAAGGGGTGTTTGACCTCTCTGGAGGTTCTCCCTGCCCCGGCCAGGCGCGGGAGGGTGTCTGGCACCGGCTAGGCGGTTTCTCATCGAGCGGAAGAGAGCCCCGAACTCTTATAACACGATTGAGGACGTGACCTCGCTGAGGTCCCCGCTTTCGCATTGGGGGTAATATTTCTGGGCGGCTTGGTTCGATACACCTTAGGCGATGCTTAAGAAAACCCAAGTTTTCGGCCAGAGTCTCGATGATTCTTAATGTTTCAATGTAAATCTTATGAGTTTGATAGAAGTTTTGGGCTTTTATTCAAATTCTGAGACTATGAATTTCTTAACCCATGATTTCTTGAGCATTTCGCAGGGTGTACACCTGCAGAACAGGCCCCTCGATCCCTAATGTTCCTGGCCCTCCTAACTTAGGTCCCCTCCCACAGGGTCAGGGGTCCTTTGATGGTCCACCATTTTTTACCCGCGGACGATCGGGCATGCCGATGCCGATGCCTTGCCGCCGGTTTTTCCGTCTGCTTTTGGGCCTCCCAGGGGGCGATTTCGTCGCCGCGAGGCTGGAAATTCGGAAATCCGCGTCGGAACGCTGACCAGCACGCGCCCCGTTGAGACGAGTTCTGGGAGCCGGGGCAAGAGGTATCCTCTTGCCCCCCCCCGCCGCGCTCGCGGTTGTCGTCGTAATCGGCGTCGTCACCCTTCTCGTCGTCGTCCGTCGTCCTCGCCACCAGCCACCGCCGCCGTCGTCGACCTCGTTCTTGTCCACCTCCGCCTCCCACACTGCCCCCCCGCCCCTGCTCCTCTCCCCTGCGGCTCCGCCGCCCTCCCTCCATCATTGCCCCTCCGCGATCCTCTTCTCGTTTCCCTCTTTCCCCCTCTCGCTGGTGTCTCCCACCGCCGCCAGACGTCCTGCATTCGGTGGCGTCGAGCTGTTGAGCTGCAAAACATGAGCTCTCTCCTCCCTCCCCTGTTCCCTCCCTCCTCCTCGCTCCTCGTCCCTCCTCCCCCCTCCCAACTGCCCTCCCTCCATGCCTCTGCTCTGGCCCATGTTTGATATCCTCTCTCCCTGCTCTTCCGCCTCCTCCTGTTCGTCCTTCTCACTCAGCTGCGCTCCATTGTCGTGCGACGCGTTTGTCGTTGTCTTCGTCGTCGTCATCCTCGTGCTCCCAGTGCTTCCTTCTCCCATTCATTCCCATCATCGTTCCTTCTTTTCTCCCATCGATAGTTTCATCTCCCTTTCCCTTGCTGTAACCCCCCTTAATCCCTCCTCCGCCCTCCTTCACCTCACACCCATCCGTCTCTCTCCTCTTTCTTGTGCGGCAGGGCGCTGTCCCGCTGACGCCAGATGCGGTGGCCCAAGATGCCTTCCGGGCTGGTGGCGCTTGCGGCGAGGCGGTTCTGACCCCGCGGGGACTCGGTCTCGGCGGTTCACTTGTCGGTATCCTCACGTCACTTGTTGTTACCCCCGCGTTTACCTCTCCAGCCCACCCCCACCACGCACAAGCGCCTGCCCTGATCCTCCTGCCGCTGCTTCCTCATCCCTCCCCCGCCGTCTGGCCCTCTTGGCCCTCCTGGTTTGGGGCCTTTTGGGGTTGGGCGCGGCCCTCTGAGCTGCACGTTGGCTTCGGTGCCTTTCGCACCTCGACTTCGGTCAGGAGAAGGCGCCCCCCCCGCGGCGCAGCGGCCGTAGTGCCGAGCAGGTCGTCAGACTTGATGTAGTCAGCTCAGCTCAGCCCTCCTCGCTCCCCCCGACGCCTCCCCTCTCCTCCCCCCTTCCCTCCTTCCCTCTCCTCCATGTGCCTCTTGCGCCCTCCCTCCTCGACGACGGGGACGGCGGCGGCGACGACGGCGCGACGCCGCTGCGAGCTGCCAGGTCCGGTCGTCTCCGTCGGCTGGCCGGTGCGCCTGCTGGAGGTGCTGCTGCGCCGCGCGGAGGCGCTGGGGGGTGGCGGGGAGGGGCGGGAGGGAGGAGTCCTCCTCCCCCTCCTCCTCCTCCTCTTCCTCCTCCTTCCTCTCCTTCCCCTCCTCCACCTCCTCCTCATTCCCCTCCTAGCCATTTCGCGCCCGAGCAGCCCTTCCCCCTGCACGAGGCGCGCGAGGGTGCTTCGCGGGCAAGCTTCGAAATGGCCCTGGTCGCGAGAGCTGGCATTACGAAGAGTGGCACCCCACGTCGTCAGCGACAATGCGGAGATCAGGCACGCGCGAACCACCTAAGAGACGTGGCACTCTCCGTCCTCTCCTCGCTTCTTCCCTCCTCCCGCCCTTCCATCGTTTCATGTCGAGCATTGACGCCGGTTGCGACGCCGCTACCAATCTGCAGGCAAGCATGGCAAGCATGAGGAAGCTGGAGCAGCACGTCCACAGCTGCAATGTTGGGAGTGGTGCGTGCGAGAGCAGGCGAGCTGGGGCCAGCCATGATCACAAACGCCATCCGCTACAGTGCTGGGGGTAGACAGTGCGGCAAGACAGCGCGAGCCAACGTCATGAGCTACAATGCCGGGGCCAGTTCGCGTGAGGGACGCCAAACCGAGGAGCAGGGCGGGAAAGCAGGCAGTGGCAGCAGGGACTGTCCACGCGAGAACGCGAGAAATCAGCAGCGCAGGGACAACATCTTCAGCTACATTGTTGAGGGGTCAGCTCGTGCAAGAAGGCACGCGTTGGCAGCAAGGTCGGTCGGTGCGAAAAGGCAGGTACTGGCAGCAGCGGCTGTCGGTGCCGAGAGGGCAGCAGGAACCACATCTTCAGCTACAGCGCGGAGGGGAACAGCTCGTACGAGAAGGCAGGCAGTGGCAGCATGGTGTGTTGGTGCGAGAAGGCGGGCACTAGCAGCAACAGCTGTCGGTGCCAGTGGCCAGCAAGAGCAAGTCGCGAGTTACTTCGCAGCAGAGGCCAGCTCGTGCGAGGCCGGAAGTGGCTGCAGGGGCTGCCGGCGCGAGAAGGCAGGCAATGGCAGCAGCAATTGTCGGTGCGAGGCGCAACTTTCGCATCAGCCACAAAGCTGTTGGGGCCAGCTCGGGCGAGGGAGCAGTGGCAACAGGGACTGGCAGTGCAAAAGGCATGCAGTGGCAGCAGCGTCTGCGGTACGAGGAGGCAGGCAATGGCAGCTGTGGTTGTCTGATCCTGTCGGAGCAGCACGGACACCTCATGAGTTACGTTGCTGCTGGGGCCAGCTCCTGCGAGACGGCAGGCAGTGGTAGCGAGAGTTGGCAATGCGAGAGAAGTCAGAAGCGGCAGCGAGTTTGGCACTACGTGCAGAAACAAGCGCACGTGCAAACTTCATCAGCTACAACGCGGAGGTCATTTGGTGCGAAATAGAGACTATGCCAACGGGGGGCAGCCGGAGGAGGCGTGCGCCGAGGCGCTCAGCAGGCCGCTGCAGAGGGCGATGTTGCCGAAGGACGTGGTTCGAAAGATGGGCTAACCACCTGGGGTCGCCCATTTTCTCCCCCGCGTCGATCCTCGCCGCCACGTGAGTGAGGGAGGGGGAGAGACAGCTGGACTGCCCGTCATCAGCTTTACCTTTCTGAGCAAAGCCGAACCTTGTCGCCCAACGGCAGCGTGGGGAAGGATCTGTTTCAGCATTCTCGTTACGCGTGCTTCGCATCCTCGGAAGTCTGGCCAACATGATCCAGCATGATCCTCCTTCTCCTCCTCCTCCTCCTCCTGCAACGCTCCGTGACCAGGAGATGGGTACCAGGCACAGGGGACTGCGCATGTGGTCGGGAGGCGCGGCCATGTGGCCCGTTATTCCAGTGTGGCCTTGTGCCCGCTCACTCTGGGAAGCAAAGCCAGTTGCGCATGCCAGCTGATTGGGCAGGGGTCGGTAGTCGGGAAGTACCTCGCAGCGCCGAGGTGAACCGTCTGTCCCCCTACGCGCCACGCCCATTCGGCCGGAGGCAAGTCGCTGGGCGATGAGGTCGCCGCCTATCCCCTGCGCGCGGGCCCTCGGGCCCGGCTCCTCCGGTAAATGGGGGGCTGGGGGTGCGGTCCGCTTGCGTGCGGCGTGCACCGAGCAGTTCATGGACCCATGGCTCCATAGCTCCTCCTCCTCTTCCTCCATCTCCGCCTCCTCCTCCTCCGCCCCTCTTCCCCCTCGTTCTCCTCGCCCCCGTCCTCCGCGCCCTCCTCCTCCCCGTCCTCCGCCTCCTCCCTTTCCTTCTCTTGGGGGTGGGGGGGCAGACGCGGGGTCCGTGTCGACCTCCCCGATTCGATGCGATTCGATTCGATTCGGTTTCGATCGATCCGGATGTCGATTCCGCTTCGACTTCGGGCTCCGATTTGGAACCTGGTTTTGCCATGGGGGCTTTTTGCTTGCCGACTTCATCGGAAGGAGGAAGGAGGAGGGAGGAGGACGGAGGAGGAGGAGGAAGAGGGAGGAAGGATACTGAGGGCGGAGGAGGAGGAGGGGAAGCGGAGGGGAGGAGGAGGGGTGCATCGGCGGTTTGGGTGCAAGCCTTTCTGGGATTCTCTCAGTGGCCCCGTGTGGCCACGGGCGGGCAAAGCCTTGCCCAGGATATATTCCTTAAGGAGTTGGGCGGTTGTGACCGGTCGAGATCTGGAGGAGGAGAAGGAGGAGGAGGAGGAGGAGGAGGAGGAGGAGGGGGAGGAGGAGCAGGAGCAGGAGGAGCAGGATATGTAGGAGGAGGAGGAGGAGGAAAACGAGGAGGAGGAAGAAGAGGAGGAGGATCGAGCATCAAGGTCAAGGATGTTGTTCGTCCTTTCTGGGCCTCCGCGGCTGACTTGCGGCCTCCTCGCCGTTCCTGTCACAGCAAACCCCGCCTGTTCTTCCTGTTGGGCGACCAGACAAGAGGAGGGGAGAGGAGGACCCGGTGTTCCGCAAGTTCGGCTTTCGGGCGTCCAGCTTCGGGCACCAGGGCAGTATAAGCAAACCGAGCAATATGGTCAACAGGCCAGATAGACCCGCTAGAGAGTTCGCGGACCAGCGTTGGGTGATCTTGGAGAGAAGAGGTCTTGTCCAACAGGGCTCGTTGGTTTCATCCGGCTCCTTTCCTCTGTCGCCGGGGCCGATTCGGAAAAATGTAGCACATTGGTCCAGTGGGAAGCCCCTCAGCCCAGACCTTGCTTGCATCCGTGACCTTTTTGTGCCATCTTTTGCGTAATAGCAGAGTGCGATCGGGGATCGAGGCTTCTTGGCCGTCTTTCTCTTGTGCCTTCAGAACCCTCCAGGGACCTCCTAAGGATTTCGAGATATCTGCGACCTTTGGGAGACCGTGACCTACAGCGCCACGGGGAAGCCGCCCGCCCGAGTTGTTTATAGGTCCCGGTTTTCGACTGGAGGCTCTCGTGCGCAAGAGACGTCCGTCGCGTTGCCGCCCTGCGGCCTGCAGCACCCGAGGGCAGCAAGCGCATTTTCGGGGTCGTCCCCTGCTTCGCACGGACGCCTCTCCCTGCGAATCCTCGGGGGGGGGGGTGAGGCCATTAACGCAAGAACCTTGCCTGAATAGCCCGTCCCGGGGAGGGGGTCTCGAGCGTGCCAGGGGCCAGCGGCTCGGACGGTTCAGGGCGGGCGGAGGGTTTGGGTGCCGAGAGGGGGGGGGATAAGACGAAGGAATGGGGGATGGAGGGAAGGGAGGAGAAGGTAAGAAGAAAGAGGGGGGGTGACTGAGGAAGGGGGCAGGGGTGATGGAGTGAGGAGGGATGATGCAGGGAGGGAGGGGCCTCCCCTCTCTCATCCCCCTTCTCTGGCGCGTCCTGGCTTCCTTCCCTTACCTCTCCTTCGTCCTTCCTCCTCGTCTTCGTGCCTCTTCAGCGTCCCTCCTTTTGAGGGGATGAGGGTGGGAGGGGGCAGAGGAAGAGGAGGAGGAGGAGGAGGAGGAGGAGGAGGATGCAGATGGAGGAAGACGCAGGGAGACGGATGGAGTGAGGAGGAGACATGGGATGGTGCAGGAGGAAGATGAGGCAGTAGCAGCAGCATAAGCCAAGCGTCCAGCAGGACGCGTGGGCACACGAGTCCCTAATTGGCAACTCCGGAGCATACTAGAAGAATGACGGCGCGGAGACTCGATTGTGAAGCAGAAGCTGCAATCGTCGCGAGTGTGAAAGAGAACAACGGGGCGCGCGCGCCACGACTGTGAACCAGAAACAAAAAAGCGCCCGTCCGTGAAGCAGGACATCCGAGATGAGGAGGTGCAGTCCATGATTTCGACCATGTCAGTCATGCGCAGCTCCGATAGATTCGGGAGCTGTCATGCTCGCAGCTCTGATCGATTCGATTACGCAGCCTCAAGGCCACTACCCTCCTCCATCGTCGGATTCGGTTCGATCGTTTCTAATTTGCAACTAATTCGATCTAGCTGCGTTTGAGGCCATGATTTTGAAAGTCATGGTTGAGACGGTGGGGGTAGGAAGGAGGAGGAGGGGGAGGACTGGGGAGGAAACATACGTTTGTTCATATATCGATGTACAGATCAATACATACGTGCATAATACGAGGGAGATGGTTTTCAGGTGGTGTATATAGTATGCTCTTCGACGGTAGGGTGTTCTAGTAGAGGGCTCTGAGAGGCCCAGCATGTGTGGTGGGAGAGGTCGGGGATGAGGAGGCGGAGGGGAGGAAAGGTTCCAGGACAATGTTCTTGAAGCTGTCGTTGTTTCCACCGCAATGGATGAGTAAGGAGTTCTGACATGCGGAGAGGAGGGGGACGGGCAAGGCAGGAGTGAGACATTGAGGAGGGGAAGGGCGGTGTTAGGGTAGTGGAAGGCGTGGGAGGCACGGAGGGGTACAGAGGAGAGCGGGGACTGGTGAAGGAGGAGAGTGGGCGGAGTTGGGAGGGAGGAGTGGGCGGAGGGAGGCCTGGTTACAGGAGTGGTAGGGAGGAGGAGGAGGAGGAGGAGAAGGATGAGGAGGAAGAGGAGGACGAGGGAGAAGGGCAGACGACGGGCAGGAGGGGAGGCGATGCGAGGGGGAGGAAGGGATGGGGGGAGGCGCAGAGGCACTGTGCTTTCTAGGGCATGCTCACGGCATCGAAGGTCCACTGAGAGTGGAGGGGGCCTTCTTGCCCCTCGTCATCTTCCTCGCCGACAGAGGGGGCAAGGGGGAGGATGGACAGAGGGAGGGGGCGAGGGGTGGAGGATCCCGCCTGCATTGGCACTGCACGACTCCAGGGGGGCCCTGGTCGGGCGTGGGGGGGAGACGCGGAGGCTGCGGAGTCGGCTTCCCGTGTTCGAGGGGCACGGGTTTCGCCTGTATTGCACTTCACAGACCCAGGGGGCTCTGGTCGGGCGCGGGGGGGGGAGGAGGGAGGAGGGAGGAGGGAGGAGGGAGGAGGGAGGAGGGAGGAGGAGGAGGAGGAGGAGGAGGAGGAGGAGGAGGAGGAGGAGGAGGAGGAGGAGACGATTGGAACAGGAAGCAGGGGGAGGACGAGGACGACGGGATCGGGAGGCAGGGCCGGAGAGGAGGAGGAGGAAGGGAGGGAGGGAGGAAGGAGATCTTGGGGCAGGGCGCAGGAGGAGGCAGGAGGAGCGGGGGGAGAGGCATGAGAGGAGAGGCGCGGAGTGGGCATCGGAGAGGGGAGGGATGGGGGTGGGTAAAACGACGCGAGGATCGGGACAAAATCGGATCGGGCTAACTCGAAATCTCCGAGAATCGGCGGGTTTGGAGGATGTATTGGGCGCCGCGGCCGCTCCAGAGCGTTCGGGAACGCTCTGAGAGCGCTCCGGAACGCTCTGGAGCGATTTATCCCGATCCTAGCCTTGTTTTAATGGGGGGGAGAGGGGGAGGGCAGCGATAAATGGTATGAGGACTGGCGGCATGGTCAACAGCAGGCTGCAAGGGGGCAGTGGAAGCATGCATGGGAATAGTGAGAGGAGGATGGCCGACCTTCGATAACAGTGCGGAGGAAGTGGAGGAACAAGAAGAATGCGGATCGTGCGGAGGATGTGGGGAGGACAAATTGGGTAATGGGGGGTGCGACTGGTGCTTGTGGTGATGAGGAGGAGCAGGAGGAATAGGTGGAGGAAAGAGCATGACTAATCAAGGTGAGGACAAGCAGGGTGATGGCGGCGGGTCGGAGGGCATGTTGATGACTGGGATAGAGGAGAGGAGGATTGTGACGAGGCAGATGAGGGTGATGAAGTGGGCGCTCAGGAGAGGCAGGCGCAGGATGAGGACGACCATGATGATGTGGATATTGATGGCGAAGTGGATCATTAGGAATGGGAGGTACTTCGCACGGAGGATGAGGACGATCGTGCGGTTGGATGCGAACTAGGAGGCGTGATGAGGATGTTGATGGTCGTGATGAGCAGTGCTAGTATGTTGCTCCTCTTGGCACGAGGGAGGATGGTGAGGTCCAGGGAGGCGGAGAAGCTGGGAGGAGGAAGGCATGGTGCGGAAGAGCGAATCGGGAGGGGTGAGGGATGTGCAGCCTCCTCATCCTCCGGGGACGGGAAACCATGGAGGTGGATGAGATGTCGGAGGCAAAGACGTCGACGCACGACGCCCGAACGATGACAGCACGCCGACGACGCCGAGGACGGACACCGGACGAGAACGACGATGACGGCGACTGCGGCAGACGGCGACGTTGACGACGGTCGGCGGACGATGCCGACGACGGGCCGACGGACGACGACGCCGAGGGCCCGCCCTCTCTCGTGGCCGGCCCTCGGCGTCGTCGTCGGTCGTCGGTCGTCGGTCGGTCGGTCGTCGGTCGGTCGGTCGATCGGTCGTCGGCGTCGGCATCGGTGTCGGCGTCGTCGTCGTCGTCGTCGTCGTCGTCGTCGTCGTCGTCGGCATCGGCGTCGGCGTCGTCGGCGTCGGCGTCGTCGGCGGCGTCGTCGTCGTCGGCGTCGTCGTCGTCGGCGTCGTCGTCGTCGTCGACGGGGGCGCACCGCTGGCGCGGGGACCGCAAGCTCGCGCCGCCGGGCGGCGCCGGCGCGAGGCGGAGCCGCACCTGCTGGTGCCCGTGTGCCGTCTCTGCCTGGAGGCGGCCCTCGGCCGGTCGGGGGCGGGGGAAGGAGGAGGAGGAGGAGGAGGAGGAGGGGGAGGAGGAGGAGGAGGAGGGGGAGGAGGAGGAGGAGGAGGAGGAGGAGGGGGAGGAGGAGGGGGAGGAGGTGAAGGAGGAGGAGGAGGGGAGGACCCCCACTCCAACTTATGGTGGTGGAGGAGGAGGAGGAGGAGGAGGGGGAGGAACGGGAGGGGGAGGGGCAGGGGGGGGCTCCTTCTCCTCCCCGCTCCTTTCCTCCCTCCCCCCCCGACGCCCCCCCTCCTTCCTCCCCGCCCCTCAACTCCTTTGGGTCCTTGTGCTCGAGCAGGATCGGAAGGCGCCAGTCCGACAGCTTGATTTGTCTGCAATCGAATGGCTCACCCATCAGTCTCGTGTCTACTGCGTGCTGTCTGTGGCGGGCAGTGCACCACGAGCGGCCGTCGCTGCAGCAGGCACAAGTTGCCCTCCCCTCCTTGCTGCAGCCGTCGCTGCAGGAGTGCGGTCGGACCGAGGTATAAGATCGAGGGGGAGGAGGAGGAGGAAGAGGAGGAGGAGGAGGAGGAGGAGAAGGAGGAGGAGGAGGAGGAGGGGGAGGAGGGGGAGGCGGAGGAGGAGGAGGAGGAGGAGGAGGAGGAGGAGGAGGAGGAGGAGGAGGAGGAGAGGAGGAGAGGAGGGAGAGGAGGAGGAGGAGGAGGAGGGAGGAGGGAGGGAGGAGGGTACCTTCGTGCTCTTCGGTTCTGTTTGATCATCGTGTGCATCCTGGGGGAGGGCACCCTCGGGTGTTCTCTCTGTGTGTGTCTCGGCCGGCGGAGGGCCTCGCGCTCAGGAAGCATATATTACAATCGGGGCCCTGAAGAAGGAACCCTTTTCGTTGGGGAGGGGGAGGAGGAGGAGGAGGAGGAGGAGGAGGAGGAGGAGGAGGAGGAGGAGGAGGAGGAGGAGGAGGTGTTCCTTGACTGGGCTGCAGTTTGCCTTCTGTTTTCCTGAGGTTTTCCATGGGAAATGGAAGTTCAACTTATGGGAGAAAGGGGCCCCGTTCCTCATTCAGGGTTCCTGAGGTCAACGCCCCGACTGTATTCGTCCTGGGTCCGGCCGTCTGACACGTGGCACCAGGCTGTGATTCAGTGTGCCGGCAAGCTCTGTACTCTAACCAGCAGAAGGCGGGCGACCTCCTCGCCTTGCTCGGCGCTGCTGTCAGTGCTGCGCAGGCCGGGGCTCAGTAACAAGCTCTGGAAGGCTGGAGGCAATAGCTTCAAGTCGGGCATGTCCCTCTACAGGATGGATGTTCAAAGTAATAACAAATAGTCGGGGGACGATGTTTCGACATTAGTTCGACTATGTGGGGGCATCGTTTGACAATGTTCTACTTGTCGTCCAAACTCCGTCTTTAGGGGGACACGCCAGACCAAACAATAGCTACCCATCGGTCGTTGTGACAGCAGGTATTTGTTCGATTCCCATGTTCCAATCCACTTAAAGCGCCTTCCTTTTCCAACGATCGAGTGGCTTCACCTTCTCCGTCCTCTCCACGGGGGGCGCGCGGAAGCCCAATCCACCTTCACCGCTTTCCTACTTACGACCGACGGGCACTCGATAGAGTTGAGGCTGATGCGCAAGGGGCCCATGCGGCCGTCCGAGGTTTCGCCCCTTGGGCCCCCCACCACCATGCTGGCCTCAGCCCGTGTTGGCCTCGGTTGCTGCCAAGTGTTCTGGATCCTGTAGCTCCCAGTCGCTCCCAGTCCCGGCCGCTCCAGCCTCAAAAGTCCTTCCAACCCTCGGGGGCGGCAAAGAGGGGGGGTAATGACTAGGGTGGGGTGGCAATCATGGCGTGGGCCATGATATTTCCCCAGATTTTATGGCGCCTCTTCTTATTTCATGACGTCCCTGGCCCCCCCCCCCCTGGGCCGCGCACATGCCGCCGGCCATGATTTGCGCCCCCCCCTCTTGGACGCCCCCCTATTGGCCGAACCCGAAACCCACCCCCCAAACTCCCTCGGCTCACCCCCGAAGACCTCCGTGGGTACAGTCGTAAGTTCTCCCAACACACGGCTTCCTCGGTTGACGGTTTCCATGTGCGGCGCGGCATTTCGTTTCGCTTTCCGACCCCTTCTTGGACATGTTTGCTATGCTGTTCTTTGCTATGGAATGCGGCAGCCTTGGGCCCATCCAGGCGTCGCTTACGAGTTTGTCGTTGATTGCTCAGCAGGCCAGTGGGCTCAGGCCGATTGGCCTGCTCTGTTCCATTTGTCGGCTATGGGCGAAAGCTCGGATGGAGGTATGCTACTTCGTGGGAAGAACGGAACCCCGGCCTTTTTTTCGCCGCTGGCAGGTTCAGACCTGCCTCGGACGCTGTCTGGAGGCAAGTGGTGCGGCAGGAAGGGCCCTCCCGGCAGTCCCACAGGGACTCAGCCGTCGTCTCCTCATCCGCTCGTGGTGCTCCTCCGAAGTGAAAAGGGAAGTTTGGGGGGACTTGTGAAGGAGGGGGCATGGGACGGGAGTCGCGCGATCGCAAACATGGATCAAGGGGGCGTGGATCAGCTCAGTAGCCGTTTGGCTCAAGCCATTTTGGCCTCCAGGTTTCTGCTCTCTCGCGAGCTCTCGGCTGCTGGCCGGGATGCCCCTCGGCGTGTCGTCGGTGAAGTCATCATCGGACAGCGAGAGCGGGGACGAGGAGCACGGCAAGGACGGGCAGACAGTGACGGGAGCAGCACCCCAGTCCGCGTGGCCCGTGCGCTTTGCCGCGGCACTGTTGCTGGCCGCCGTGGTCGCCACGGTCGTGGTCGTGTGCTCTGACTACCGAGACGTCCCCTACAGCGCAGGCCTGGGGAGCCCCGCTGCAGAGCTGACGGTCGACTGCAGCATGGAGACGGACAACCTCACCGCGCACCTCGAGTGCCACGGGAGGAGGAAGGAGATGCTCCGGGAACGGATCGGCGACCTGCCGCCGGAGGCCCGGGAGCGGTTCGGCGAGTTCGCGAGCTTCTTGCTGCAGCACCGGCGGGACTACTTCACCGCCAGCACAGTCGACGTCGCCGAGTTCAAGCGGCGGCTGCAGGCCTTCGCCGCGACCGTACGCCTCGCCGCCCAGCGGAACGCCGAGGCCGCGCGGGGCAACGGGTCGTCGCGGGCCAGGCACGGCATCACGAAGTTTGCCGACTGGACGCCGGAGGAGTTCCGGGCACTCCTGGGGGGCTGGAGCGACGGCGGCGCCTCTGCGAGGAGGCTGCGGTGGCCTCTCGACGACATCATACATGACCTGCACGACCTTCCGGACGACGGGGGCGCGCCGAAGCGCGCGCCCTGCACCAGGGACTGGGCCTCTCGCAGTACTGTCCGCAACCAGGGCGCCTGTGGCGACTGCTGGGCGTTTTCTGCCGTGGAGGCGATCCGTGCCGCGGCCATTCAGCAGAACGGCAGGGACCCAGGGCTCCTCAGCACCCAGTACTTGGTCAATTGCGTTGAGGACTACCAGGGTGCGTCCTGCAAGGGCGGTGCAGGGGGGTGCTGCGGGGGAAATCCAGCCACAGCCTTCGAGTTCATCAGGGACAACGGGGGGATCCCCACGCAGGAGGACTATGGTAATGTCTTCACGTCCCAGCAGGATGCGGGCGTCTTGTCTGGGTTCTCCTCTGCGGGCCCGACCTCGCCGACCGGCAAGGGCATCACCTACAGCGGCAACCTTCCCACTCGGGAGTGGCCGTGCAAGGCGGGAGTACCGAACGCAGTCACCTTGAGAGGTCGGACGCAGACGCTGAGAAGCGAGGATGCTATGGGTAGCTACGTGTGTGAGACGGGCTCACTATCAGTGCTGGTGGACGCCTCGCAGTGGCAGACCTACGCGGGAGGCGTGATCGATGCCCGCTCCTGCGGCAGCGAGGTGGACCACGCCGTGGTCGCGATCGGCCTGAGCGAGGAGAGCAACGCTTGGGTCATTCAGAACTCCTGGGGCCAGGACTGGGGCGTGAGCTGATGGGCCTGTTTTCCACCACCACCACCACCACAAGAAGTTGGAGGGGGGAAGGAGGTGGAGGAGGAGCAGGAGGAGGAGGAGGAGGAGGAGGAGGAGGAGGACTCCCTCCCCCCATCCAACTTATGGTGGCTTGTGGTGGAAAACGGGCCCGTCATCAGCGTGGACGGCACGCCGGCGCCCACGGACAAGTACTCGAACTGCGAGCAGCTGGCGGGCGTCCTGAAGCGGGGCTGTCGCCAGAGGCTGACCACCGGGGAGACGGTGGGGGAGGCGTGCGCCGCCTCGTGCGGGGACCCGCAGACCCCGGGAGGCTACATCTATCTTGAGTGGCCTGCTTTCCACCACCACCACAATGAGTTGGAGTGGGGGAAGGAGGAGGAGGAGGAGGAGGAGGAGGAGGAGGAGGAGGAGGAGGAGGAGGAGGAGGAGGAGGAGTGAGCAGGAGCAGGAGGAGGAGGAGGAGGAGGAGGAGGAGGAGGGAGCAGGAGGAGCAGGAGGAGGAGCAGGAGGAGGAGCCCCTCCTCCTCCAACTTGTGGTGGTGGCGGTGGAAAACAGGCCCATCATATCTGCAGTACGGTGCAGACACGTGTGCCATCACGACACAGGCCGACGTGGTTCCCAAAGTCGTGGAACTCTGAGGCGACCTTGCGGCGCACGCGCCTCTGCGCCCGGTCTTTGCAGCGTCCCGCTTTCGATCAGGGAGTTGGTTTGCGGATCAGTGGGCGAAAAAAAAGGGGGCGTGGATTAGCGACGGGTCCCGTTTCCGCTGGAAATCGCGGATTTCCGCCGCCGGACGAGGCGGCACCGGCCGCCGTTTGGGGAGAGAACTTCCCCCGATCCCTGGATCTGGCGACCGCGCGCCCCCGAGGGAGGGCGTGTATTGCAGCATCCTGGAAGTGTCCCGGGCTTGCTCTGGCCTCCTTCCCCTGGGCGCCGCGTAATGGGGAGGTCATACATGGGGGGGCGGCGAGCGCGGCCCGAAAAGGTGCCCAAACGGTACCCACACGAGCCCCCTGGGGCTCCGGAGGG